CGTGTTCAGAACACGGATTGTGGCTCGCCTCTGGTTATCTGCGTTACACATGCCAAAGTATTCAGTGGGAAAACACCAAGTGGAGCTAAAATATTGTTTCTCTTCTGTAACTAATATTGGATTTACTGTCCAGAAAAAGAATGTCGGTCTTATCAGTTCACCCTCAGGCAGATTTTTTTGTTTTGAATTTACATTTCTATTGATAATGGCCACCAAAGACTGAAAAGTTGAACATGTTAAAGCAAGGTATCATTTTCCACCTTAAGAAGAAACAATAGACATCTAGAGTTTGAAATGATGATTCTTTGGCATCACTGAGGAGAAATCTTGGTCCACTTTGCTTCTGTACATTTTTTATTTTTATTTAAATGATTTTGAGCTTGAGTAGACTGTTTAAAGTCATGCATCTGGGTAAGGATCCCATTCAGATGCAATTCTTGACTTTGACTAGGCCATTCAGAAGCCTTTCATAAAGGTTTTCTTGAGTTGGTCGCTTGCTTGGGCATTAGATCACAAACTCAAACAATGACCTAAAGGGTTTTTTGTGTGTGTGTAGAGAACAAACTTAATGGTACCATCAATTCCAGCAAAATATTCAGCTCCTCTAAAGCAGTTCCTGACCTTCATACCAGCACCACCACTGCGATGTGACGTCCTTTTTATGAACTGCTTGGTAAGTTGCATGCCAAATGTAAAAAGGATACAAATCTTCCACATTCGTCTGATGAGTCAGAATATGTTTCCAAAGTTTTTTAGCGATACTTTTTTTTGGGGGGGGGGTAAATGCACCGCTATGATCATGCTTAGAACCCCACCTCAGATGGTATTCCTACCTAGGGTCCTACTTGAACTTGAAAGAGTTCAATAAGGTCTGTGTTGCTTCACACATCATGGTTTAGTTATTTTCTTATCTCCCAGATGAGTCAATGTGCACCTAGAGTAATATTTTTAGGTCAGCCACTTCTTTCACTCTATCTACTGTTTGAAACATGTATGCACTGCTTTTTGTTGCCGCCTAACTGAAAATTACCCATGGGCCTTAGAGAGAGCAACGGTTTAAAGCGAGGGATCATCTGTTTATGAAAGAACCCAATAAATTTAAACAAACAAGAATAATAATCTGAGTTGAACAGAGAGAAGTCTAAAAGGTTCAGGATGTCAGACCTCGAAGACCAGAATTGATTAACCCTGAGCTATAGTACCTTAAATTGCTGAAGGGGTTAATCCTAGCTCTAAAATCCCAGACTGTTACAGTTTGTTGTGTATCGGACAGCAACATTACCAATGCTAACCTCTGTTTACCACTAGAATAGAAGAAGGTGACCCAATTATCTCAATCTGGCTTTATATTTAGCATCATAAGCAGGATTGGGTCTGCATCCATCCCTTATCTGAGGAACACATGTGACCAGGGTGCACTATAGTAGCAAAGGAAACTAGTAGAGGAAGTTTAACGTTTTTAGACATTGTTCTGCAGGCTCCTTGGCTCCTAATATAGATATGGATGTTAGTTTAACATGATATTCCCTGATGTATGTGACCTCGATCAGATAAACAATATGTGTCCAGAAGAAAATGATTCCAAAGTATTTTGAGGAGTAAAACAATAGGTTTTTGGTTTTTACACGGCTTCAAAACAAGTCTGATCCATAGAGGCTGGCTGAGTCCAAGCCTCAATGGGTCAGAGGTTTGTTTTTGTGAGTTTTTAAGGTGAACTGCATTAATCAAAGACAGAAACTAGTTTCTGGCGCCCTTCACAGGAGCAAAAATGTCTATTTTCCATCTCTGTGAAGAACACGTACGTTTGGATATTTCAGAGGACAGTTTTGCAAAAGATGAGTTTTTACCGGTGATGCGTAGCAGTCCAATGTTATTACTCTGTATTATGAATTTGAGCAGAGAGAATGTCGGCTTCTATTTGACAGCTCATTTGTCACTCCTGTAGGCTTTTATGAGTCATCATCCTCATCATCCTTTCAATATCCAGACCTCTACAGTCCACCTGTCCTTTCGAGTGGAAACATCCCTGGACCTTTGCCTGCAGCCGCTCATACCTCCACCTCCTGAGCTGCTGTCTAGCACCCCAAACACAGCGGCCTGAAGCAAATAAGAAGAGGGCTGAATTTATTTTTCCACCACCAGCAGAACAATTTTTCAACTGGCTTTACAAACATTTAAAGTGATTTTTAGGAATCTTTAAAACCAGTTATGGCAGCATATCCCTTAACCATTTGCATATGTGTAACAGTACAATATATAATGTTTTTTTATAACAGACCATTATCTCCATCACTAATTCCATGCTGGGGGGGTGACTCTCCACTAGCAGCTGGGAGGTCAGGTACATCATGCATAAAAAACAAACCTGCAAAAAAATAACCGCACCTGAGGCCCATTTACTAACGGAAAGGCCATGGCCAGTATTTGAACCTCAGACATTCTTGCTGCAAGGATGTCTTTGCAGCAAGCCTGATGTTTTTGAGCAACACTTTGAGGCAAAAATCACTGAAATCAGGTGTTTTCTGTAATGTTCAAGAAATTTCCTGTCAGACTTCTGCTACTGTTGACAGATATGTTGGTTTACTGCTCATGAGCAAGGTGCTTTAAGTTGGCTGGGACAGTTTTTCTTTTTTTTTTTTTCAGAAAAACAAAAAAATCTACATTTTATTTTATTAAATTATGCCTGTAAATGTTTATGTATTATTACTTTATCAGAGTTCTGTTATTTGAATTACTAGTGTGACTTTATGATTTTCTTCAATGAAGGGTATGTAAACATTCAAGTACAACTGTGTACAGTGAGGAAAAAAAGTATTTAAACACCCTGCTATTTTGGAAGTTCTCCCACTTAGAAATTATGGAGGGGTGTGAAACTATCATCCTAGGTGATATAGATGTCCACTATAAGAGACACAATCTAAAAAAAAAACAAAGAAAATTCCAGAAATCACCATGTATTATTTTTCTACTATTTATTTGTATGATAGAGCTGCAAATATGTATTTGAACACCTGAGAATATCTGTCTTAATGTTTGGTACAGTGGCTTTTGTATGCAATTAAAGAGGTCAAACGTTTCTTGTAGTTTTTCACCAGGTTTGCACACACTGCAGGGATTTTGGCCCACTCCTGCACACAGATTTTCTCTAGATCAGTCAGGTTTCTGGACTGTGACAGAGAAACACTGAGTTTGAGCTCCCTCCAAAGATTCTCTATTGGGTTTAGGTCTAGAGACTGGCTAGGCCACCCCAGAACCATGGGGGGATGATGTTATTGGGAAGGTACTCATTCTTCTTCTTCCCCAAACACGGTTAGTGAAATTATGACCAAAAAGTCCTATTTTGGTCTCATCTGACCACATGACTTTCTTCCATGACTCCTCTGGATCATCCAAATGGTCACTGGCAAACTTAAGACAGGCCTTAACATGTTCTGGTTTAAGCAGGGAAACCTTCCGTGCCATGAATGATTTTAAACCAGGATGTCTTAGTGTATTACCAACAGTAACCTTGGAAACCGTGGTCCCAGCTCGTTTCAGGTCATTAACCAGCTCCTCCCATGTTTCTCACCTTTCTTTGGATCATTGAGACCCCATGAGGTGAGATCTTGCATGGAGTCCCAGTCTGAGGGAGATTGACAGTCATGTTTAGCTTCTTCAATTTTCTAATGAACAGTGGAACTTTTTTCACCAAGCTGCTTGGCTATTTCCCTGTAGTCCTTTCCAGCCTGGTGGAGGCTTACAATTTTGTCTCTAGTGTCTTTGGACAGCTCTTTGGTCTTGGCCATGTTAGTAGTTGGATTTTTACTGATTGTATGGAGTGGACAGGTGTCTTTAAGCAGCTAACGACCTCAAACAGGTGCATCAAATAAGCATTATAAATGGGGTGGAGGTGGACATTTTGAAACTAACAGGCCTTTGTCAGAATTCTTTGACCTCTGTAATTGGAAACAAAGGCTACTCTAGCATATATTAACACTGATTTTCCTCAGGTGTTCAAAAACATATTTGCAGCTGTATCACAAATAAATAGTTAAATAGAATTGAGATTTTTCTTTTAGATTATGTCTCACAGTAGACATACACCTACGATGACAATTTCAGACCCTCCATGATTTCTAAGTGGGAAAACGTGCAAATTAGCAGGGTGTTCAAATACTTATTTTCCTCACTGTATATATAAAAAACATTAAAGACCTCAAGCATTACAGTGTATCCAGTTACTGTGACTTTTTTCTTTGTTCGATCGTTATATCTAATTGGTACGTTCAACATGGGGGGGCCTGATAAGTTTTAGGGGTGCCTCAAATAGCAATAGCATTTAAGGTTTTGGCTGCATTGATGAGAATCCTAGAAACTGCAATAAAGGCCAAGAGACTGAGATGAACCAACTGAATTAATATTATTCAGCTGCTCAAGCAATGAAATTTTCTTCTCAAAAGAGACTCGTGTTGCACTAATTTGAACAAAAGTACTGAAGCGATCAAGAGAGCTTGAGGGCTTAATAAGTAAATGTTAAGAAGCTGAATGAATAAATTGGAGCAGCCCGTCCTGTGATTGCAAAGGCCCTGTTTAAGTATGCATGGTAGAAGGTGGAGCAAGTTCACATTTGGGAAAGCAGCACAAGTCTTAAACTCTGCTGATTTATTTTGATGGTAGTCAATTTCACAGGACTAACAAGGAGCCTGTCAAAAACTTTCAATCAATGTTTTGGAAAAGTGATCACTTATTTAAATTACCTGAAGTTTATTTTGATTTTAAAATAATTACTCTTCTCATGTTTAGGTCGACAAATGAAAAGTGTCAAGGATAACCTTGAGAAGCTTAACCCAGCTGACTGCAAACGCTTCTGTCTCAAGTGATTTTACAGTTGAGGGAAGATGATAAAAAAATAAATCCTGGCATGGCACTTTTCAAGGTGAATCAACATGCATGATTTACCTCCATCTAATGTTGTTGATACCCAGTGTTTCATGAAATTTTAAGGACAAGCATATAAGCACTTATCTTTCAAAACGGTTTTAATGACAGCTTTTCATATTCATTAAAAAAGAATCTTATGTACAGTAACTCTCCATTAGTGCCAAAGGTCGGTCAGCAGCAGCATCCTTCATCGTCGATTGAAAGAAGACCAAAGCAGGAACTAGAGGATGATTTGGTTTTTGAAGCTTCGGTTCAGGTCTTTGTGTGGAAGAACAATGGAGTTCAGTATTATCACCTCAGAGGGAATGTTCACATTGCAACCTGAGGAAAGAAAGCAAAGAGCTTCAAATCCCTAGCAAAAAACTAAATTACTACACTGATCCTTAATACTTCTCTCCTTGGCTGCTTTATTGAGACTAAAACTAAATGAATCCTCAAACAGAGTCATCGGATAAGAACGTCACCTTAGAGAAAATGAAGTGGAATGCAGCCAAATAAAGACAATCAATACTTTTAAAGCAAAATATTCACTTTTAAAACATATTTTTGTAATTTGTTTAAATTAATTAGAATTTATGTACACAACGTTTTTTTTTTTTTTTTTTTTTTTTTTTTTTTTTTTTTTTTTTTTTTTTTTTTTTTTTTTTTTTTTTTTTTATGTGGTCCCCAGATTTTGTTAAATAACCAGAATCTTTAGTATCATTTATTGGAATTATGTTTATTTTTTTGACTCAAGCTCAGTGGATCCTATGGTCTCTTTCATTCATTTCATAAATCTGCTTTTTTTCTAGCCTAGTAAACTAGCCCCACCGCCAGCAGCCAAAATAATTTTTGCCTGCCAGTTTGGTCTAGCCTCAATCAATGCCCCAGGCCCTAGAACTGGCGGGCCAATCACAACGCAGAGATGTGTTTTGAATTTCTGGATGCAAAGTGGGCGGGGTTTTGAGGGCGTAAATACAAAGCTGCATGACGCTGGAGAAAGCGTAACAAGGAAGATTGCAACAACTATTGCACATTCTCGTTTGACTCAGCTTTGGAACCAGTTTTGGAAGGTTTAGACTTGGGGTTTTCATTGAAACGTGAGTAAGAAGAGGCTCTACGCTCATTAATTTTTAAGAAGGACGGATTCGCCGTTTTACCAACAGGCTGTTTGTTTACACTCCCCCACCAGCTTTCTGTCGCGCTTACTACGTCACAGTCAGTTGCTCTCGTTGGTCAGAGCGTTGGCCAATAGGCAAAGACATGGTTTAAAAAACAACTGGTTGTTCTCATCAACAATCTTCAGATGTCTCATTCATCGAGGCCAGACTAAAGTACACATTTAATCTCACATTTAGTCTGGTTTATCAGGCTACTTTTTCCCCCTTTTTTTTTTTTTCTATTTTCATAGTGTAATCTTCGTATGGTTGACTCTTATGGAGGTCCAACGAGCCTGAACTGTTTTAGAAAAAAGCTGTTGGTACAAATAAAGAAAAGGGAACATTTAAGCAAATCCCTGCAAATCTAAAACCCTTGTGACTCTCATATTAGACCAAAAACTTTAGAAAACCATGTATCCTCTGTTTACCTTCCCACAATTCAATGCTACGCCATGATACCCTACAAGTTAACAATCCCAGTAAAATTAATTAATGTTAAGTGTTAAGCAATTACATGTGGAAAAAGTTTGAAAAGAATCTTTTGCAAGACACTGAAACATCTATCTAGTAAATTGTTGTGGTTTAGTTCCCTGTGATATAAGAATTTTAGTTTTTTTACTGATACGTTACACTGACATCTGTTAATCCCTGATGTCAGATAATCAGGTCCTGAGAGGCAGCAGAATAAAAAAACCCAAAAAACTTTAGGTTGTTAAAAGAGAGATAAATTGAAAGAGAGACCGTGGGACGTGTGTGGGAAAACCTGGCAGGGTTATATCCATACTCAGCAGAATAAAGGGAAGAAATTTCAGGAGTTTGGCAGGAAGCTGAAGGCAGATTTGCAGATGCTTGGCATTAATATGCAGAAGACGGATCCTTTGAGTTGGTTTAAGGGAGAAACCTCGACGGAACAACTGAAGCACCAATGTCTTCGACCCACGGTTCGACCCATGCTCAGAAATCCAAAATAACCATTTTATAGATGCATGTTTTTAGAAAATTGGATTCAGCCTATATCTTCTGCACAGTTGGAGATTCAGATGAGATGAAACATTAAAATCTTCTGTTTTAGGTGCCTGTTTTTTCCCCTCCTATCTCTACCTTAACAGTACATTAAAATGCGTCTTTCGTTGCATAATTACGTCACTGTGATTAAGACCTCATTGACCTTTCCCTTATCTGATCTCTCGGATTAGTGATCACATTAAGGATATATTGCAGTGGATTGCTATTTGGATCTTTTTTTGGCACAAATTTGGTTTACAAATGAATTCCCTAAGTAAGTTAGTGTGAGGAGAGTGAGATAAGGAGCTGAAGATAGATGGCCAACTGCTGAGGAGGCAGCCAGCTGACCAAACTTAAAGAGAGGAGGCACAGAATGCACCAAGCTGGGAGACAGAGACAACAAGCTGTTAGCTAAGTCTGAATTTGAGCTGACTTGCAGAGAAAACTTTATATAGGAGGTTTTGTTTTCTAACAAATTTTCCTTGGAGAACCAGGGTGGATTTTTACAGCATTTAAATGTGATGTTTCTTTTTTTCTTTTTTTTTAACACAAGAAAAAAATGGATAGAATTGATGGGTTATAAAGCACCCTCACAGATAGCAATGTTTAATCCATAATCCAAATTAGTAAAGAGTGTCTTTATTACAGTTATCAACCGATCCACAAATATGGCCTTTACTGAAAAGTGAAAAGAAAAAGTGCATCACTGAAAAAAAGACGTAAAAGTCCTGCTTACAAAGAAAAAAAAAGTAAGAACAGAATAAAACGAGCATCCTTGTGATTCCTCTTCACAACTATGGGGCTTTCAGACAGAATGTGGCATTTGCTGAACTTTGAGTGAAAGTCTGCTTTGAACCCCGCTGAGCTGCACTCAGAGGTTTCTAAATAAGCCGATAATGGCAACATTTTATCTGCAAAAGCTGGAACCGTTTTTTTTGTGTGCTAAAACTTTAAAAGAAGTTAACCTGGTTTAGTGAGCCAGAGATGAACAGAAAACACGAAGCACAGCGTGATGAGCCCCAGTGACTCAGAGATCAGTCTGGAGCCTGTAAAGGAGGAATGGGCAACTCCTGGCCTCACGCATTTAGATGTGCCTCCAACTCACCTAAATCAAATACTTAGATAATTACCAGGACTCTGGAGAATCTGCATACAGACATAATTTAGCTTTTTGATTCAGATATGGCTGAACAAAGTCATTGAGACTGCCGTGAAAATCAGATTTGAGCAGCATTTGCCTGCAGTGTCGACGTAGCCTAAAAGTTGCAGGACAGTAGCTTTCGAAAGACTAGACTTGAGCTTCCCTGCTGTGAACTAACTTAGGTTCCTCATCAACTGGCTGATTTCTACTTGGTCTGGAGCAGTTTAATGGTATCCTGTAGGTTCCCTCATCATTCATGTGTGACTAAGCATCACTTAGCTGACATATCGCCAAACGTTCCTCAGAGTAGCTCATGACCATAGTCTTAGAGTGCCAAATAGAAATACACATTCTGCCATAAAGTCCCATTAAATCTACTTGTTGTTGATCTATCGCATCAGTCTTTTAGTTTCAGACTGCATAAGGAGAGAATATTTAAACTGTTACAAATATTGTAAAGAAATATACAAGATAATAAAAATCTATTAATGGATGTTTCAAAAACTTCAAACAAACTTAAACATTTTATTTCATTACATGCGCAATAAGATATTTTTATAACAGTTGTAACACTCCAATTTAAATGTGAACATTATTTGTCGGGTCTGTGATTCAGTTCTTGCCTTAACACAAAAGGATAAAACACCAAAGGGAGACATTAAAATACAATTAAGTAGATCTGAACTTCCTGCTCAGTAATTAGGCGACCAATAAAAACTAAATGACGCAGAGCAACCGCTCACTTTTTACACTTCATTTATGCCTGACAAAGATGGTGTCACACATTCACCACTAACAGAGAGAGACTTACCAAGAATAGTAATAGAAGGTGTGAGTTTTCCATCTCTAAAGAGAGTCTCACTGGCAATCTTTGCGAAAGGGTCATTGGGGTTTGGGTCACTGGGGGTTCCTTCTACTCGTGACCACTTGCCAATAGTACTATCCCATCCCACAATGCTGTTCAAAACGCAGCACTGATCCTGAAAAATGAATAAATGGGATAGAAAAACATTTAAAAAATACATCAGAAATTGTAACGAAATAATGTTAACACAGATCAAAGCGAGTGTTTATTCATAGGAATACTTTAACCAAGAATTTGCCCTTAAAGCCGCTTTGCAAGGAAAACCAATAAATCACCAGCAGCATAAATTTGGTTAAAATGGCCCCCGGTCTTCACGGGAGACGTGAGATTAAATTATAGCTGCCTGAGAATCGTTAACCGTGACATCTTTGTGAGCGTCCGTGGCAACAATATTTCTGCAGACAGATGAGCGTGTTGATAAATGTAAGGGATGTCAGATGGGAAGGATAGAGAAGGTTAGCACTAAAATGTAAAAGATGTCACTTAATGGGAAACTGGTTTACCTTTAGCTCCATTTGTCTGTCAACTTAATATCAAGAAGAATTTCAAGATATGTGCTAATGTATAGAATATTCAATTTAATAAAAACCAATAACCTGAGTTCAGAGCGCAGGATGACTTACCTGTAGGGTTGCACCATGAAGAATAATCGACTCTCGAACTCTGACCCCGGCACCAATAGTCACGCCAGTGCCAATTGAGACATTGGGGCCCAACTGCACAGAGAATGAATACTGAAGATTATTAAATAGCTACAGAGACTGATCTGCTCACAATAAATACATTTCAAAGCCTCCAATCAGAAGGGTGGATAACATTTCCACAGCCTAGCTTATACCCGTGGGAAAACAGTTCACTAGTTATCTCACAGACTTAATATTCGGGTAAATGTAGGCAACTGATCAGGCCTAAACTGGAAAAGACATAAACTTCACTGAATACTAATATAAAGAGATCACCTTCGTTTTAAAAATGGACTGTTTTAAGGTTTTGGCTGCAAACTGAAAAATGGTTGCAGAAAGTCTCAGAGCTGCAAAATGCATTGCAAATATATCAACGGCTCAATATCATTACATGCTTTATTCCTACTGAATGGCCTAGGCAGGCAGTAATTGTTGGGTATTATACTCTATTAGAAACAGGCTTAGATTTTTACATACTAATACGACATTAAACTGGTTGGACATTATTCCAGCTGACAAATGTTTAAATGGGACACATTATAAGTGCTAAATGGCTTAGATTGATTAATGGAAGAGAAAAGAAAGAAAAAAAGAACAGAATAGGTCCAAACTGTCAGTCAATGTAATATTTACCAACATTATTGCAGATTTTAAATGAAATTTCCAGAGTTTATGTTTATAATTCAAAATGAAACCTTTCAGCTGTGCAAAGAAAATGCCTTTAGTTTTCTTCAAAATTCTAGTTGCTGGTGAAGATTCTCATCCAGGTCATAGTCATTCCAAAAAAGTTAAGACAAAAAATCAACTGGACTTTGTTTCCAAGTTTGAAGACATGTCGTTTCACATCCAGGAGGCTTTTTCTATTCAAAATGTAAGAATTGGCTTTGATTTCCAAGCTTTATATAGTAGCCCAAAAACTTGCTGTGGCTTAGAAAACATGAAAATTTAACCAACTACTATTTTATTAAAAAGGGATTCTAATAAAAAGGTTACTTTTCCCAATTTTTTGTGTGAGGTTTTTAGTTTTTGATATCGAATAATAACATATTGAGTACCTAAAATAGCAACATTGTGCCAAGTTATACTTTTCATTTTTATCAAAAAAAATGTAAGATTTGACATTGCTTCTTATGGCATGTTTTCATTTTCCATAGATAGGATGCAACTTTGAAAAACAGGCTTTAAATCAGGCCTGGGCATTTTAAAGCACAGATAATAACTCTGTGCATAAATGTCTAATAGTTTTGTAGCAATTATAGCCACATATATGCACCAAAATGGTCTAATGCTAAAACTAGACATTCTTTAAGGATGCAGAATCATCAGCAGTGAGCTTCTTACTATAGGTATTTTCATGCAGTTTCAGTGGGCGAACTGTAGACACTGCAAAGGTTTTTATTTTAGTTGTTCAAATACACTCTGCTTGCCAGAGCTGGAGTCTCCCTGCAGGTGACGTCCACACCTGACATACGATGGTCCCCAAGATGCTAAAGTGTTAGAAGCAATAATATTGTAGACAGGTTGGGTTTTTATCCCCTATGTATTAATTTTAGCTAGTGAGATACATTAAAAACAGCAAAAGCTTCTCATATGACTCTTCACTGATCTAATTAGAGTGACTAAAGTTCATTTGGATCATAAAATTTTAGAAGAGGGAGATCTTTAGGAACAAAATCATCAGTAACTCAATAAAAAAGACCATCTTGTAGATCTAAGCTCCATCAGCCACTAGTAAGTATTGGATAAATAAGAATTAAAAATTAATGAAATTGCAGGAGTATTGAGGGGCCCTATGCCTATGTTTTGGGCCCCACTATGGTTGCCTCTGTTCTATTTCACTTGTTCTTTACTACAGTTGAATTTTTCCTATTTTACAAAGGTATGCT